ATGCAGAAAGAAAGAGAAAATACAGGGGTAAAGAATGACTCCTTGAGGAACACCAGTCTCAATAAGTAATGAGGTGGGACGCTTCCCTCTTTGAACAGTATGTTGTTAACTTCCAGAGGAATAGGAATGCAGCCAGCTGATTATCCAGCACTCAGTATGATTCCCGTGTATATTATCCGAGTGGGGAGGTTTTGGGACAGAATTAAATGTTGAAGTGTAAACTAAAAAGGGCCCACCTGAGATATTTGTGATTTGTACCAAGAATACATGCAATATTGTGACACAAGATAGAGACGACATCAAAAGTGCTTCTTCTGCTTTTATATGCAAATTAATAAGGGTCTCCGAAACCCTACAACGAGGATCCGAGTATACGTATTATTACCCTCTCCATTATTTTGGAGAACGGGGACTGCAATCTGACTGAAACGTATTACTACTCTGAAGAATAAACAAATTCACATAGGTGAACTAACGAACCACAAGCTATTATTAATCATAATAAGGTGTAGAAAGTGTATACGTAGAACACTGTCATACAATTAGAAACATTAACAGACAAATACATATGTGGTCAGAACAACTTAATTCCCTCCCGTCAAGTACTGTTGTTTTGCAATCTAAGGGTTTTACGAATTCAAAACCGTTAGACAGTTGATAGTGACTGCTTGTTGGCATTCGTGCCTGAAGCCTTGCAACCAATACCCCGCCAGGGGTCGAACCCATGACCCTCATGTTCCGTGGCCATCACGTCACCATTGAGCCACTGGGTCACGTCCCAACTCCTGTTAGCTCACGATATAGCGTGACCGCCACCCAATGTCATCATTAAGTAACTGTCCACACGACCATCAGGCTTTGCCCCCACCGGTCAGGACTTCTTATTGGGACTTTGGGAATACCTCCCGAAGCTAGTCACCAATGAGCACCAGTTTAACTGAATTTTGAGGGAGTTGTAGGGATTTGGAAATATTTCAAGTCAGTCTACGACGAATAAAAACTTGAAATATTTCCAAATCCCCACAATTCCCTCAAATTTCAGTATAAAATAAAATGAATCTTTGTAAAAATGGAAACAGAACATCTCTAATTCACTATCACAGTGTAGGATAAATAGTTTAAAAGCACATTTATTTAGAAGAATAGAAATATATATGTGCATATCCCCTCAGCATGCATGTAGTGTACCAGTGGTCATCAAGTGTACCGATATGCTCTAACCATGCAAATGCATTTTTGTTCATCTGGCGGGAAATGCAGGTGTCGTCCACGCATTACCTGAGTATCATTTCAGGCTACCACACTTTTCTATCACAGAGAAAGATGAACTAATCTTTAATGTTATTAGCTTGTGAATTTATGTCTTCGACTGAATGAAATAGATCGACAGCAGATGGCATAGTGATTCTTGTGCGGATGCCTTCATTCGCTCCAATTAACGAAGGCATAATACGAGTAACAACATAAAAGCTACACTCATCGCACAACAAGTAGCTAGCGTGACTCGGTGGCCTGGTAAATGACGCTGTGGCCTTGGAAGCAGTTTGTCTAGGGTTCCAGTCCTAGTGGGAACAGCATCACTCACTGAGGTGCACGTACACTCAGCTGAAGAGTTCCGTGTAAGACGAAACACACCTCCTGAATTCCAGTGCTATGCACTATCCACTAGTAATATCAAAGGTGAACTAAGTCATTCATAGCTTTCGTCATCCTTTAATTCAAAGACTCATTCAACTAATAAACACACAAATCACTTCTACTACTACCGATGTACATTCTCCTAGCAATGATCGTCAGATCTGTGTGCCTGTAGGAGAAATAACTAACAATACGACTCTAACCTGTTGTTTATCAGATTCTTCTAGGTTCAGTTTGGATATACGCACATAATCCCTACATGAAAACATCAAGTGAGAAAATGGATAAAAGCAACACGAATTTTTTCTCTGTCTCCTAGCAAAAGGCTAAATATTTTCTAACTCGTAGAAAAAAGTATTATGAATTTCAAGATCAGCATTTGCCATCTTTCTGAGCATAATTTATGTAAACTATTAAATTTTACCTTCTGTGTGTAACCGTGGCAAACTGGTGTTGATGGTGATGATGTCTAGAGTGAAATTAAAACGTTTCCCTGATGAAATTTCATTTCAGGATGTTTGTCCCTTGGGTTCCTAGTGAAACATAGGGATTCAGTAGCACTCCACTACTTCACTCTCTTCTCTGCACTCTTCTCTTTCAATATGGCTACACCATTGCCCGCAAGCTTTCATTTCTCTCCTACACCATCTCCTCCATGTCACCCTCGCCTCGGACACCCAACTCATCCTTTCCCATTTCGCTTCCATTCGACGACTTGGCCTGATCTGGGCTGATGCGAGATGTCCCCAAACGGTCTTCCCAGTGTATAACCAATCTAATCCATCTCCACTTTCTTCTTCTGCTTAACAGTTGGGCAATGGGTTATTGGTTGGTTTGTTCCCTGTTAGAGTTCCTTGTTGCTTATTCTCATTATTCTGGCGATCTAATCGATCTTCAGTACCGAGTGAGCGTAGACGGCAGTTGTTCATGTGATGTATGTCTGTAGTTTGTTGGAAATGCTTTTCGTAAAGCGCTAAGTCTCTCAGCCATCACATAGAAGCACTGACTTATCTGACTAAATTAATGTTGAAAATCCGGATGTTGTTCACGCTATATGCTGAGTGCAGTGCAGTAGATCTCAACACTGATTTCAGATTAATGCAGGAAGACCTGCCTTACTTGCTTTTCCGATCCTGGTTTTTACAACGTCATCTGTGCCGCCTTCTGCAGTTGAGACGATGTTGCCTACCTAGTTAGTTAGGTAAAAGAGACAACTCGATTTCTCGCGTTGATAGTGTTTGTTGTTGTTGGTGGTGGTGGTGGTGATGTCTTCTCTACCTTCACTTGGAGTCCTATGATCTATAATCCATCTAATATGTACGGTTATAAGAATATTATGTAAAACCTCCAACTAGAAGGTTAATTATGTATCAATTGTAGTCTTGAAACTAACCAAGTACACAAAAATTCACAACATGAAACTCTGTTCACGTTTGGTCCGGTTACACTAAAGCATATAGGCATAACACAAGTAAGAAAATTCAGCAACTTTCACCAATTAAAGTTTCATATCTTTAGTTCATTATCAAAAGATGTATTTGTACACGAGATAGTATCTAACTGAAGTAATATAGTGTTTTATAAGTCTATGTGCAGATAACATGACAAGTTGTCACTTGTAACCACTGTATGGGGAGCTAAAGTTTTATGGATTCCAGGAATGTTCGAATGCATGGCCTAATGGTAAGACGCCTGTACTGTTTCATACATCATAAAAAAAAGAAACTTGTTAGAATATTTTAAAGTCCAGTAGCAACTTTAAAGGTTTACCACACATCTAATTATAACAAATGATGAAACTACTTAACAACAATAAAATTAATTCCTAATATTTAAACTTGAAGATATAACTTACATGTTTTAAAGTTTTTTATCATATCTCCAACTGGTATTGTTTTCTAAGTGATGTGAAATCTTTTGCTGTTCACCAACTGATGATTGTTCAAATCTCTCTTGAAGTTGACTTTTCAACTGAATAGGATATACAGGGACAGGAACTAGTGAAAACCTCGAAAATTGAGGATCAACTCGATATAATGATGCCTAAAATATTTGCAAACAGATAGTTAAAAATAAAAACTCAATTATTTTAGAAAGTGACTTTTATTACCAAGTCAATCTATTGAAATGACTAGTATGTCTTATTATCTATATCAGTGCTTTGAGGGTTTAAATGATATATAAGATAATCACTTTACACTATTCACTGTCCATGGCGAATTTTCTCACGGTTGATTAGTATATCAACTATCCAACTATGGTGTGAAAAAGATTTCCGTTGGAAACCATTCAAATGAGATCAGAAGGTGGCATCTCTGACGGAAACGAATCAAGAACTACTGAAAGATACCACTAGTAGTAGTAGTAGTAGTAGTAGTAGTAGTAGTAGTAGTAGTAGTAGTAGTAGTAGTAGTAGTAGTAGTAGTAGTAGTAGTAGTAGCGTGGGTAGTAGAAGTAGTGTAGGTAGTAGTAGTAGTTGCTGTTGTTGTTTTTGTTGTTAGTTGTATTGCTTTTAGGCTTTAAGGCTGAAAATGCTTGACGGTATCATGAATGCATTCAGCAGTTTTATGAGTTTGGGGTCGCATATATGCAGAGAAAAGCAACCGACCCATACAGTTGAGGATGGGAGAACAAGTACCTAAATGGCTTCAAAAACAGATGGAGTGGGAAACTATGATAAGTGCATATCCAAGACAACCTTCTTCTTCTATAACTAGACGTATCGAAGAGAGAGGTTGTAGGATTAATAACCAAGACGCTTCTAAAGCTTTATATAGCAATGCTTAAGGACATATACTGAGGTTTGCAGAAGGCATAGCCATACGCAAATTGAAACCAACACTTATGACCACACTACATCCACCTTGGTAAACTTCGTTTCTGTACCAAGATTCGAACCGAATATTTTCTTTTTTATCTTCCTTAGTTTTAACCTCTTACTGTTTTAACTTTCTCATTTGCCCTCTTATTCTTGTGTTTCAAATAAAATGATGTACCAAGTAAATGTATAATCGCATTGTTAGAAATATATTACGTGAATACATCACATTGTTCAGATAAAACTCTTCTTTCAACTATACTACCGAAACTCAGAAAATGGAAAAACATTTTCTAACCATAACTTTGATATCGTTCCTGTTGATTAATAATAAAAAATTAGACAAATCGAAAAACAATGAAGATATATAACTCACGAATCCAGTCACAACACACAAAGTATCCAATATACTTCAAATATCCTTGATATGTCAAACCACATATATGTTATCAAATATAAATTAGCAAGTGAGTAGTCGTTATCTACTTTTGAAGACTCATCTTTTATTATATTTTATGTAATAACAAAAACTACTAAAACTTACAGTACATTGAAGTTCATTAGAAGATTTACTATATTTGGTATATTTCTCATGCTTTTCGTCACGTTTTCGAAGGAATGATTCAATTTTTGAGCTTAAATTCCATGGTATATGTATGAAAGAAGAAGAATTTTCAGCAGGAGAGTTATTTTCTGTTAAAAACTTCTTCCGTAGTTCACAATACACAGAATGTGCTACAGAGGTATCGGTACCAAATAAGATATATAAGACAAAAAGTTTACGATATACAGGTGGAATATATGATAAATAGTTAATCACATGTTTTTCAACGTCATCCTTTATTTCAGGAGAAATAACTTTTCGTTTATCGAAAGAAAAATACTGATTCATACAACCATATAGTCTCATATCAGAGTATACACTATCTTTGGACCTATTGAGCTCTACAAGTTTGAATATATCATGTCTTAACGCATAAACATGGGGAGCATTCATCAGTTTGATTAAAAAACTTTTAATATCCTCTCTACACCAAGAGTTTAGAATACACTGACCAATCCTAATAGCATCTGAGAAGATACATGTTGTACAACTACAGCAAACACAGTCATCATTAGAAGGGGAGAATAACATCGGCATGCTAACGCTGCATTAAACACGATAACGGCAAAACATTATGAAAACTTGCCAACATTTTGACTTGTTCATTGCTTGGAAACGGAGAAATTAAACCATTACCTAAGAAAATTCTGACGGTTAGCACTATTCCAGTGGCGAATTCAAAGAGAAAACTGTGACAGTTTTTAGATAGTGCAGCGTCCTACAGTCGGTTCCTCAAAAATTTCAGTGAGATAGCAGCACCTTTATACAAGCTATTTAGTAACCCCAAATTCAGGTGGACGAAGAAGGTACAGAAAACGTTTGATGGCAGTAAGGAGCTCCTAAGTGATCACCAGACGATGTTAAAACTACCAATACCCGGGAGGTCATTCTTTATGTCTACCGGTGCTAGCAGTTATGGAATAGGCGTAGTTCTGGGGCAGACTGAACGAGTAGTAGAGTATCCCAGCCATGTCCTGACACCTGCAAAACAGAAGTATTCCACAGCTGAAAAGGAACGTCCGGCGATGGTTTGGGTGCCTGACAAATGGAGATCGTAGCTTCTCAGCCAATAGTTCTGTATTGAAAGTGATCACAAACCTCTACAGTGGTTAAAGACAGTGAGGGACCGTAGAGGAAAATTATCGCGTTGGATGCTATGGATGCAAGTGCACGACTGTACAATCGGTCACACTGCGGGGGGGAAAGTAGTTGGCAAACTCCTTGTAGAGATCGGATGGAGAAAATGAACTGCCTGAGATCGCATGCGTGTTCACTAGGACCACTGGGACTTATCCGCCTTCGAAAGCCGAACCATATACCTTAGGCTGCGACGAAAACCATACTTGAGGGAAATGAAACAAACAACCATGCGGGAACAAATAGTTAAGAGCGTTGTTGACGCAGAATGACCATCCAAGTTCCGGTCCGGTGAGAATACGACGGGAGCTAGTAAGCAGTGATTCTGAAGCACCTCGAGACGAAATGGTACAAGAATGTCTCCAGTTAGCCCATACGGGTGCCATACGGACCGCCGACCTTATCAGATAAAGTGTATACTGGCCGGGTTTGAGAGATGCGCTAACTAAGCTCGGGCTGCCCACACTGGCGGTTGGCGATCCGCATATACAGCCACTGTTTTGGCCGATTTCGGCAGCTACGGTTGTTGACCTATGGTCGGTAGACTTAATGCGACCGTTCCAGCAGACACCTGGTGGCAACCAATACTTGTTTTTGATATAGGAGTGTGCTACACGATGGAGGGACGCTTTCGCGATTCCTGGTCAGCGTACGAAGACAGTGACGGTGGCGCTGAGGAGGCATATTATGGCCGGTCACGCTGTGACCAAGGTGGTACTGGCTCACCAAGGTGCTTCTCTGAGAGACAAGAATTCAAATCATGTTTGAAGTGTCTCGTTATCGAAAGGATAAGAAATACACCATGTCGCACACTAATGGCTTGACGGAACGGAATGACAGCACACTGGAGAGTGGCAGGCTTCGAAAGGAGGGAGCTGGGCGATAGAACTAGCATTAATATTACTACTGCATAGTGCCTCTGTAAAAGCTACAAGCAAAGAGTCGTTACGGTCAGTGTGCGGCAGAAAACTACGACTCCCAATACACAGTAAGATCCAGCCTGAACGACAGCCGTCGAACATGACAAGGCTGAGAAACGAATGGAACCAGGAAATCAGAAACGTGGACCAAAAACAGGGAGCTGGTGCGGAGAAACCCGACAGAACAAAGGAAGCAAACCAAAACCGTTCGCTGCCGCAGATCAAGTAAAATGCGGGGGACGAGGATATACTTCATGTGTTGAATAAGGTTCGGGAAAACTACTTCCGAGGTGGGAAGGACAATTCACGTTTATTGAGAGGCGTAGTTCAGTTCATACCATCAAAAAAAAAGACAAAGAGAAGGGAGTGTGCTTTAGCCCACTTCAAAAACGTAGCACATTTTAAGAGGTCTGAAGAGGTCATTAGCGATTGCGAGCGAAAGATAAATATTTTGCTCGGTGAAGCTCAAACTGTGACGTGGCCGTCTCATCAGCAAGACGAGATAGGAGAAGATGAACTTGAATATACTGTGTAATTTGACATTTCAATGAAAAGTCACAATATCTTACCATTAATGTGCAAACCGTTGTGATAAACAGCCCTTCTGTGATTTACCCTCTGTCCTTGCCGTACACCAGTACTACGGCAATGATAAGGCCGGTTTAATCCCTGATAAATAGTTTTAGACCAACCATTCTTAGTTTATTGGCGGGTAGCGGGAACCCTCACGGCCACCCAGTACAGATTTGTGGGCTCTTCAGCCACTATTACCTTACCCCATCTACGCAAGGGGACAAAAAAAAGTCGACGATAAACCGTCCACACTGACTCACTCCGAAACCGATGTACTCTACACTCGATAATACACTCCCCTCGCAACACAATCACTTAGAGCCTTGTACAACGTTGAACCCGCCGGAATCTCAACTATGCTGCTAAAAAGAGGTGGCAAAGACACGCCTCCGATCCCCTTTCAGCCCTTCAATGGTTCCTTCTCTAGTGGCGTTTATCGCGAGAACTGTCATGCGTCTCTCCCAAGCATAAGTATGGACTGATATCTAATACTGAAACCAGTGACCTAGAAATAGCACGTCATTGGTATCTAGAGCTACTGAAAGGGCGATTGTGAAGAAAGTTGACGACTACATGACCACAAACCAGTTACTTTCCCCAGTACAACTCCGTTTCTTGAAGACAAGCCGGTGCGTCACTGCTTTCTTGGTTATCTGGATGATGTTACAAGCAAGAATGACTGCGACCCTTTTGCAACAGCTCTTTTCTTTGACCACAAGCAAGCATTGGATTGGATGCCCACAAACACTTACAAATGGATAAATAACTACTTTGTTCCCAAATTAAGAGTTCAACATGAGGGAAGCCAGCTTACAGACATCAGCAAAATGATAATGGTAAGTAGATCTCCAGCAGTTGATGTAACGGAAAATTGATCTGAAAATCCCTCCCGATCACCCTTATTTGATTGTATTGACATTAATTTTAACATTTTTACCCTCGTTATGGATGGTGTACCTCTGGCCCTAGCCGGCCTAGTGTTATTTGCTTGTTTAACTGTCTTATTTGACTTTGCACCCTGCATTTGCCTTTGTATGTTTAAGACTTATGAATGTTTCACTTTCCTATTATGTGACGCTGGACTGTTGACAAGGTGATGTTGTTTTACTGCGCCCGACATTCTGTTTTGGTTCAACTTACGGTTGTGCAGTGATTTGACTGTTTGTCTTTTGACTATCTACTGGGAACGTTTGTTTGTTGATTTGATTCCTGTAGGCAGAGTTTTGATCCGTTTTGTCGGGAATATTCCTATTGACCGACAGGTACTTAACAGTTGTATTTGTTTAACCAGTTTTTACCGTGTAGTACGTATTTGCACCCGAGAACGTTTTGGACTGTATAGTTACCCAACGACACTGTTGAGGTATTTTTGTAATTTTGACACAACTTATTGTTGCTTTGATAGTACCACAGATTTTGTTACGAATCTACTATTGAATTACTACAAACCGTGTTCTGATATTTTGATCCAACCTTTGACTGTGCGTCACTCGCGGAAGTTAGGAAGCTATACAGTAGAGCGCAGGAACTAGTCAGATTCACATCAGTTGGCACCGCCTAGTTATTTCCCGCATTCAGGCCAAGATTATTGGATTCCGGCCGCTACAGTTGAGCTGTCCTGAATGATACAGAAGTTATCATCCTATCAAAAGTGACTGAAGGTTATGAAAAGAACAAAAAATATCACTTCACGGTACATACGGATTGATTATGAGTTTCGGCTGTCTCCACTCACCATCCTTTTTCGCAACAAAGTGATACCAAAAACGTACAATATTCGACTTTCGCGTTTCATGTGACCTAGACGGTAAACCTGGCGATACACTTCCGTATTTCCTCAGATAAACGTTTATTTTAACTTCGGTTCACATGTTTGTATTATCGTTGGCCATCAAAAACTCACTTCATCCACTTCAGGTGACAGTAAGTGTTGACGTAACCATATTATCCAGGTGAGCATATAAGTCCTCATGTTTCTCACTCGAAGTGTGACCTCACTTAGCAATACAGATGTAATCCATCAGAATTAGTTGTTGCTGTACAAAGAAATAAACATTTGAAGGACTATTATCCAATGATGGTGTAGTTTCGCAAGTAGGATTCATACTGAAGCATACAGCATTATCAGGGAGGTTCGCTGGCTGTTAACTGTCTCCTATAAAACGGAGTCAAATGAGGTGAAGTACTGGAGAAGTTTCTTTGCTAGCATGTCTCACTTTGAGTCACCAGGTGAATTGATTTCTTAGATTTAGTTGTTTGTCCAGATTTTCGCTGCCATTATGACCGTCCAGAAGCCTTAGTTTTAATAATAATAATAATGATAATTCACTTTATTCCAAACAATATGTGGTTCATTTATTGTAATTGAGTTTTCTTACAAGATTGCATCTAGGAAGTTGATGATTGGGTGAGCTTAGTGCAGAACGTTTCAGAAAGTTGAAAATCAGTGGGGGAAAACCAGTTGAAGAAGTCCTTCAGTAATTTCCGTTTCAAAGTACGAAGTAGTATATTCACTTGACAATTTAGCTCAAAATTATGCCGAAGGTTTTCCCTTCAAACTTATGCCAAAAAGAGAAGAAGAAAAAGGAAAGCACGAGCAGAAACCGAAGAGTGATATACCACGCAAGATGAAATTGGGAAAAGAGAAGTTCTTATCTTCTTAGAGACACTCTAGCTAAATGTGCACTTCAATTTATCCATATAAAAATAACTTCCATGATTTCCCTATGTAAAACAAGTACGATTTTTCGGATATACCCTGTTTATTTGTAGACGGGTAAAACTGACTCCAAATCAAGGTGATTTACAATTTACTAATGCGCACTTCACTGACTACACAACCTGAGCCAGTGGGACAGCAGTCAAACGCCCTGTGCAGCAATGTTAGGGTCCATTAAGGAAAAGTAC